TGTGTGTGTGTGTGTGTGTTTATTTTTCCATGTGCCTGCGCTTTGTCACAACACAGTGGCTAGATTCCAAGAGTGAGTTTCCAAGAAGGAGCCAGGTAGAAGCAGTTTGTCTGTACAGTGGCGAGACTATGACAAGTTCCTAAGGTGGCCCTTTTTCAAGGGGGAGTGAACTAGACTCTACCTTCTGGTCAGAGAATTTGTGGACTTGGGTTTAAAACGATATGATTTCTTCTTTTATTTTTTTTTCTCCAGGAATGATGTGTTTCATTGATGGTTGTGTTGAATCATATGCACCGTTGTACACATGTGGATCTATGCAGTTAGTTACCAATGAATTCAGGAATGATGCATTTCTTTGATGGTTGCGTTTAATCAAATACACAGCTATACACGTGTGGATCTATGTATTAGTTATCGGTGAGCTGACACTGATGGGAACCTTAGTACAAAGAAGCAAAGCTTTGCCCAATCCTGTACTTTCTCCCAATCATTGGCATGCCCAGGTCCTTTGTTGCAGCCACTGTGTATTTTTACTGTGTTCCAGCCTAGAGAGAGTCATTTTCCAGCTCTGTATGTTGTGATGCATAGGATTTGGAGGGGTTTCTTGTTATTGAGAAAATGCACAGCAAAATATATTACCTATTCATCAAGACTGCCTCTCTTTGTAACTTTCTTCCAGCTACTTTAAATTTAGCTGTGGTTTTCTAGTTTTAAAAATCCTGGTGGCTTGTAGTTCATATCCACCAGCTGCTTCTTGGGAGAATGGTGGGCAGTCTCTTCCTGTGCAATTAACTGCCTCTGAAAACCTGCTTGGATGGTCAGCTGTGGATCAGTTCTGACTCAATGGTATTCAGTAACAATAGCAACAATGCGCTAACCTGAATAAATACTATATATATCATAGTATGGGAGACCAGCATGTCCTGTTTTCTCATGAGCACAATAAAATGTTCTGGAATTAAATTTTTTTTCTTGTTCAGCTGCCGCTGCATGTTCCATTCAGTACCACTAATTGCATCCTGAGTCATACAACCATTCTGTGGTGCTGTGGCTCACTTTCATGTGGCATTTCCTCCTTGGCCTTGCACACCATACAGTTCTGTGGCTCACCTGGAGAACTGGACAGCTGGCTAATGCTAACAAGGCTGCGTGCCCTAGTAGGGGTGGAGTCATGCAAATACAGCTGAATGAAACCCTAACAAGGACATTGGCCGTCCTGCTGGAACAAGCTATTCTAGAGACAGTCAGATAGGAGTTGGAAGCAGAGCGTGCCTCTAGGTCTGGAGTTTCCCGATGGAGATGGAGAGCTATAACATCAGAGGTGGTACAAGGTGGTAAGTGGTGGCAGCCGCAGAGTCAAGAGGCTGGCAGGAGGCTTGCTGGCCCCCAGAGTGAGAGTGCAGAGTGCCTTCAGACAAGGGTATGTGCCTTTGGGCACTTGTCATCTGAGGCTGGCTGTTGATGTGCTCTCTAATCTTTGCCTGGGAAGAACAGAGGCCTAGCCAGCTCAGGAGGCAAAGGATCCAGGCAGGGCCTGCTTGTTGACAAGATAGAGCAAAGGCCGTCCTTACTGAGAAACTGGATCTCAAATTGTTTCTGATGCTGTGTTACTTCCCTAATAAAGCCCATAAATGTGGATCTGTGAGGTTTTTTGTGACCACTGCAATGAATTCTTTTTTTTTTAAATGATTTCTTGAACTCAGTTGCTGAGAAAGATGGCTAGTAACAGAATTGGCTAAAAAAAAAAAAAACCTTTGCCTCTTGGCAGTCATTCTTGAGCTGTTGATGCAAATAATCATTCCTCTCCTCTTGTTGAGTTAGACAGGAAGGTCTGGTAAGCCCATTCTCATGTTCTTGAACATTCTCATCTCCTTCTTTGAGTATTTGTTCCCTTGTTGACATAAATTCACTGCTCCCCGAAGTTCATGTCTAGTTGTTCCTCTTTTTTTTAAAAATACATCTGCCTTTTTCCTCCTTTAATATCTATTTTTCTTGTATTGTTCTTTGTGATAAAAAAGCTGTACTACAGTCTCAAAGGCAACAAGTTCAAATCCACCAGCTGCTCCGTGGGAAAAAGATGTCTCCTCCCTTGCAGGAGGGTCAGCTGTAGGTTGGTTCTGACTTGACAGCACACAACAGCAGCAATATTTACGCTCAGGTTGCTGCTTTTTGGTTCCACATAACCAAGACACCAAAGCTCCCTTTCATCAGGAGGAACATGACTCACAGCGACCCTCCATCAGGTTTCTGAGGCTGAATCATTACGAGTGAGACCACTTATCTATCTCCCACATCTGGTGGATTTGAACTGTCAACCTTTCATGCAGCAGCAGCCTGACCTATTACACACTTGAGCACCAGTGTTCCTGTATGATCCAGTATGCTCTCTGATTGCTGTCAACCCTTGAGCCAGTTTTCTGAGTCTGTAAATTGCATAAGAGGAGACCTGCTTGTCTTTCTCCCTCTGGGCAGATGATGGAGTCAAACCACCAGAGAGGCAGTGCCTTCATGTTAACAGCTCAACTCCAGAGCTCTCTGTTATGGAAACTCAAAGAAAATTGTTTCTCTATTATACTAACTAACATTGGCTGTAAAGTTTAATATTCTGAAAGGAGCAGTAGGAAACCAGATGGAGAAAATAAGAAATGCAGGGGAAGATGATAAAGATTGTGAGCAGAAGCAGAATGAGTGAGCTCAGGAGCTTGTAGTGTGCAGGACCAGCCTGAAGGTGTCTCTGAGCCTCTCAGTGTTTGCTGTTTTGGTGGGTTTTCCCCTTTTGTTATTTTTTAATTCTTATTTTATATTCCCCTCCCCCTTTTTTTTCATTGTTACTTGAGCACAAGTTCACAAAACGAGTTGATTTCCCTTCAACCATTCATAACCCGTTTTGCTTTATGACTTAGTTGGTGTGTGCACTTTTGAGAGAGAGAGGGAGTGAAAATGTCTGTGTACACATAAGCTGTATACATGCTCTTTTGGATAGCCTCTTGTAAAGACACATCCCTTGAGCTTCAGGAGGGCAGGGATCTGGCCTCCACAGTGGGCAATAAAGAAGGCGGCAGTGTTCCCATGTGTGTTACCCTGAAAGACTTTTTGTGATGACGAGGAGGTGGATGTGCTTGCCCTTGCTGTGTACTGATGCTGGATGTCTCCTTAGTTGTACACTTCATTAAATACACTCTTTCTCTTTTAGCACAAGGATTCCATCGTTCCTTACCTTCTTCGGCTTCTCAGAGGTCTTCCCAAAGTATACTGGGTAGAAGAAAGCACCACTCGAAAAGGAAGAGGTAAAGTTGTATATTATCTTCCCTGAAAATGTGTATATTTTGTGTCCATAAAAAGGGAGCTCTGGTGGCCTAGTGCTAAGAAGCTGCACTGCAAACCCAAAGACACCCAGTTCGAACCCACCAAATGCTCCACAGGAGGATAGGCAGTCTCCTCTTCATGTGATTTACAGCCTCTGAAAACCTGCTAGAGGGGTCTGCTGAGCTAGTTCCACCTCTGGAACTAGGGAAGCTGCTCCTAGCTGGTATTTTTCTCTGCCTGCAACAATGTGGCCTGAGTTTACTCACAAGTATGTGGGCCTTGGAGGGCTAGGCAGGACAAGCAGGGAGGTTTATCAATGTATTGAGAATAAGCAAGAACTTGGACACTGTCAGGAACCTAGATTTAGGTCTCATTAACCAGAATAGTCTCTCCTGCCCATCTTACACTGGTCTGTATTACCCTTAGATTAAAGGTTCCCTTTCAACATAGAAAAATCAGTTGGATTTCTCTACAGCAACAAAAAGAATACAGAGCCAGAACTAAGAGAAACAATACCTTTCACAATAGCTAATCACAAGATTAAA